CGATTACCTATTTCACGAACAACCATATCCGACAAAAAAATGTTTAACTTGTTCTACGTATAAAAATTTTCACAGTTATACTTAAACAAGAATGTAAAATAGGTAGGTGATACAAGAATTCTCAAGTTCGTAGTAGAAGAACTAAACACATTTTAAGGTGTTAAATCCTTAAAATTTCTTTAATTTCTAATTAAGAGCTTATAGAAAAAATTCGAAGGAATTTTACTAAATGAGTAAACAGTTTTCAATTTCATGGATAGAAATTTGAATCACGCTTTATGTTAGCTATTAGAAACTACTTTTTTTGATGAAAAAAGCCTGTTGAATAAACGATTGAGCATGTGAGTATTTAAATTTTGTGCACTAGTTCAATAGTTAAAAATCAGAAATCTGATGTTCAATATTATGTTGATGTGTTACGCTTACTTCTCATGTGAAAGTAAAAAAGAATGTATTTGTAAGAAAAAAAGTTAACAGAAATTGGCGCATGCTGCACTAGTTTTTTTTCTATGAGAAACAAAATTCTTTACTTTTTTGATATTATTATTTGTTAATTGGTTTTATGAAAAATGTATCAGAAGAAAGATGATGCACAACTTCTCAAACCAGATAAGGAACAAATTGAGAAGAAAGAAGAAGATGATGCATTGAAACCTAGAGATAATGAAAGTAATAAGAAACAAGAAGATCATAAAAAAACAGAAGAAGAAAAAGAGAAACTATTTGAGAAGTTGCAGATTATTACCGATCGTTTTACGATTGTAAAAAGACTTGGAGGTAATCTAGAAATCTGCACATTGAATTGCGATATTCAAAAATCTTTGTTTTTTAGGTGGTGGATTTGGTGAAGTGTTCCTTGTAGGTATAGAAAAGAGGAAATAAAAGCACTCAAGAAATTCAACATTTTAGGCAAAAGACAGTAAAACAGGCTCATTAGTGGCCATTAAAACTGAGCGAACTGATGTATTACATCCACAACTGCCGATTGAGAAAGATGTCTTCACCATCATGTCATCAACAGTCAATTGTCCTGTCATGCATCACTTTGGTACACATGGAGAATTTACCGTTTTAGTTATGGAATTATTAGGACCATCTTTAGAGGATTTATTAAACTTTTGTGGTCGACGATTTACACCCAAAACACTTTGTATGGTAATAGAACAGGGCTTACGTGGATTAGAAGCATTACATAATCGATCGATAATGTGAGAGTTGTACATATCAATGGAATAAACCTAAAACCTATCAACTGTCTATTGTAGACATCGTGATTTGAAGCCAGAGAATTTTCTTTTGGGTCTTGGAAAGAAAGCACATGTCGTACATTTAATTGATTTTGGTTTATGCAAAAATTATCGTCATCCGTTAACATTTGATCATATAGCATTTCGTACAGGAAAAACGTTAACGGGGGTAATGTGTGGTCTCTTCCTTTTTGTGAAAACCCTCGCCAGAAAGAAAAATGAAGTTTTTAAGTTTTAAGAGGTTTTGGAGACAGATTGGTTGTTTTTGCATTTTCTGTTACTTTCCTCCACGATCGATCGGACAGACAGGACACGAACGGCGTAGTGCCTTATGATTTGTAACTGTTATTGTTTTATCTTCTTCTCTCGTTAGTGTAAGCCTCATCGTCTAACATATAAACGACAGCAGTAGTAGTAGTCGAAATAAAGAGATGTCTTCGTAGTACAGCGAGAAATGGATATTTCTTGTGGCTTCGTTTAAGGGAAACGATAGGTAGACTAGTGAGTACCGATTATATATTTGCTCATGTATCTCGGAGAAATTTTTCACATTTTTGTCTCCTAGAGTAACACTGGAAAGCTTTTTCTAAGATATGTAGATATATTAAATAATAGATGCTCTATTTTAACAGACAGCACGTTATTGTTCATTATATACACACCATGGAATGGAACAGAGTCGACGAGATGATTTGGAATGCCTTTGTTACATCATAATCTATTTGGCGAAAGGGCAACTCCCATGGATGTCCATAAAAATTTCAAATCGGAGGAAACGTAACGAAAAATTAGCCGAAGTCAAAGAATCATTGACTCCATCTGATTTATGTGCTGGTCTGCCACCAGAATTTGAATTATTTTTTAAATATTGTAGAACTTTATCCTATACTCAACGACCTGATTACGGTTACTTAAGAAATTTATTAGTTTCAGTTATTTATCGACTGAAAGAACAGTTTGATTACTTCTATGATTGGTATTCAGTGGCAAAAATGTTTAAAAATAATCTGGATGCTGGAAAACCAATTCTGCCGAAGAAAAAACCCACAACACAGATGTCTTCGACGCCAAACGTTACACCGAAAGCATAGAAAGCTTTGACGATTAAAATTATAAATGTATTTAGGTCCCCTGTTAAAAAATGATTTCGGGAATTACACATCCGATCTGAACGAAACTTACAGAGAATGTTGATCATGTTGATGATTAGCTATGATAAAGATTTAAAGACTATATAATACCATTTAGGAAATGTCGCTAAAGTAGTAGTCAAAATTAGGCCTTACTGTACATGAAGCACTACCATTCATTAATAGGGTAAAAAATATTTTATATACTTGTTAAGAAAAGCTATACATATTCTGAAACTAGACATTTCGATCTACCAAATTATAAAAAGAATTTTTAATTTTTACAATGTGGAGTTAGAACTTTTTGGAGTTGGAATGTGGAGTGGGAATAAATTGCTTTTCTAATTTTGCTCGGTGTTTTCCTAAGGTTACTGTCAGTAATATTAGTTTTCGAATTTTTTTGATGAAACTTTGGTAAGATGTTCTTTATCTTATAATACATCTACACCGTTAGCACAAAATAGCACAATTTATCCTGTACTGAGTTATTGGGTTTCCAAAAAACCCTTGGTTGTTGCAGTAAATTCTATTTATCTCGGTCCAGAAACACTTTTACTAAAAACTAATGACATATTCAGTATAAGCGCATAAAACTGCATCAAATGATGTGTGATTTGTAAGTTTTCCTACGAAAAAGTTTTTTGATATAACGGAATGCTAGAGTCGAAGTACTACCGTGATGATTTTGGGTAGGCATTTGGATAGTTATTTTAGAAGCAGTCCAAAAGTCGATGAACACTCTTTCTATAGGTCTTCAGATGTGATCTTTTCAATGGTACGATTTACAAAGTTCAAAAACGCTTTTTATCTGGATTTCCAGAGACCCAGATCTCTAAAAATCCATATATAATTATTTTTGATCTTTGTAAATCGCACCATTGAAAAGATCACATCTGAAAACCTTTATAAACCGAATTTGGAGTAGTCCAGATTAAAAAAAGTTTAATTACATAGCACTTCATATAATGGAGGAGACAACAGTTTTATTCGCCAATAAAACGTGTAGTACTATAAAAAGAGTTGATGACAAAGTGTCTTACACTCTTGAAGAACAAATAAATTAAAAATAAAAGGACGGATAAAAAAGCAAAAAATTCAACAAGACGAAGGATGTGACTCCTGTGACAATTTTATGAATTGTTTTGATTCAGAGTATTGAAAATTTCAGTCAAATTTTCTTCTAAAACCTCATCCTAATACATTTGTGGTCTGTCTATGAATCTTTGTGTAAGATTGACAACATGCACAAAAGAAAATTGTAGATTAGTCATGTCATAAATATTCTTTAACTATTTAACTATATTATTGTTTTTGGAAAATTATTTCTTTTCTTTGTGGCAAACTATTCTAAACAAAAGAAAGTGATTTTGTTCATACTTTAAAACTACACGTATTTGTTATACCAAGGGCGCTTTCTATAAATACAAGGAAAGAACACTGACAGCATTCGTTTCCATACTCAGTTTTTGACAATAATTCCGGATCTGATATTGATTTTGATCAAAACCTCACCCAAAGTTTATCAATCGTCAAATACTGATAAAAAGTTGATCATTTTGCTCAAAACAGATCAGGCTCCAAAGCAATATTCTCAACAATTTTATGTAACTCCATGGATTTGATGCCCATACTTTGTCGGAACAAAAGTTCATGCCGGTTGAGACTTTTTTCATAAAGAGCTTATTGGATAGACTAATTATGGGAAGTGCCAGCCATATTACAATAATTTCCATCTTCCCTTTGTAAGAGTTAAAGTTTCACCAAAAGTCGAAAGAATAGCTTCTTGCGCGATATATACCATGTAAAAACATAATAAGAGAAATCGCCGTTGATTGTTTTTGCGCTGGATATTTCAGAGTATTCATGGTAAAAATTTCAAAGCTTGGTCATACGTTCCTGTCAAGTTATGTACTTTTAAAGTTAACAGATTTTTGCCGTTTTTCGAAAAAAGTCATAAAATCAAAATATTTTCATTAGACTTTAATGTGGAAACCTTGTCTTATGTACAATGTTTCGTAAAAGTATTTGATGCAATGCGACGAACTTTTAAAACAAGTATTTGACACTTTTAGCACAAAAATATTTTATATCTTTCTATAATCAAAGAGATTATCCAGTCAGGAAAATATCTAGCCAATTATATAAATTTAATATGATCTAATTAATTCATAAGTCACTGTATCTACTTAAAGCTCAAGATCATGAGAGGAATAAAGTAGGCTTTCTTTCACTTTGTGCATTTACACATAGTACTTCTTAATCGTTTATGCAAAATAAAAAACTGATTTTAAAGGCACAAGAGAGAATTATAAATCCTAATTTTATTTCCGATTACTAGGCAGTTTTCAATAATACTTTTGGGTTCCCCTTTTTGGCTCACTTTACTTCAGAACTGTATACTACATGAGATGTATTATGTGATATTTTGCGACTAACCGACATTTGAGCGATCCCCTTACACATATACTTAATGATAAGTGTATTTTTTGATAACCTTGTCATCTATATTCAACATGACAAAATTATCAAAAAAGTTATCTGAGGCTCGTAGTGTACGTATTCGATTCACTATCCATTTTAGACTGTTTTGCTTTACACCTGATATGAAAGGATGTTCATGTCTTGCATGATTTGTGAATATTCTAGTTGGAATGGTGTTATATAGCGCCATCTCATGACTATCATAGGTGCAAAACACATTTAGATTGTAATGACAGTTTGTGTTGTGCCGATATGCATATAACAGTGTGAAGAAATATCTAGAACCCTATGTATAGTTGATTTAGAGCAATAAGTCACTTAATTCTCGGAATAATTGTGTTCTTCTTCCTTTTGTTTAGTTAATCGACTGCAGTTGTCAGATGGGAAAGAAGTTCTATGCCATGCTTATTATAAAGACTATCTGTTTATTCTATCTATTTAAGCGGAACCAGTTTCCACTAAAATTTGGGAAATAATGTTCTTAGTAGCAATATAATATAACGTCGGAATCCTTTCAGATACGATCATATAATAACCTGACACTCCTATCGTTGAATGGTAAAATATTTTTATGATTTAATAAATAAAAATTATTATTAGTTTCTTGCACAGTTTTTTCTGCTCTTGAAATCATTTTCAATCCGTATCGATACTGATAAAAAGCCGATGTTAACGAAACGATGTGCCGTTTTATTTAAGTAGAGATTCTTTGGCTAGTAAACATGACGTTCAATTGTGATTACATGTTTGTCTTTCACCACAATAGCACTGATTAATATACTTATTTTTATTTCTATCGTGATATAATACGATTACCCAATGATTGATTCTCGCTCAATTTCACTTAGCTCTTGGATTTTGTGTTGAAATACAGTAACTAACATAAAAGACTATTAAGTTACTCAAGATCAATATTTGATTTGGAATAAAACTATCTTTGTAAAAAAAATTTTTTATTCCAAACTCATTATTGCTCCATAATATTAAATATTAAAATATGATCAAATTTCGTTGTTGGATATATACGCTTTTGTGCGAATAATATGTGAAATTAAATAAAAACTACATTATATATTTACATGAAGAACACATAATCTCTTTGACTGGAGTTATATACTTTGGTATACAAAATTAGTATAGTTAATCTTTTTATTTAGAACTCGGTTTTTATCATAGTTTTGTTTCTTTCTATTCAATTTAATTTTCTTTTGAGAAGCTGAGCACTGTTTCTTTGTTATTTTTAGCCCCATATGATTGTTTCTGAAAAAAATTGATCAAAATAAGTTCGATAAGCGAAAAAGTAATTTTTTCTTTCCTTTTCTGATGTGAAACGTTTAAAATAAGATCTAATTTTTGAAAGTATCAAATTTTTTTTTTTTGAACAATACATAAGAATATACTGTCAAATCTACTGTTTAGCGTAAAATATGAAGGAAAAGAACGTGCATTTTCTCAATGTGTTGGTATCTAACCCAAGTATCTTATGGTTGCTGAGAGTCAAAAAGCATTCACTAGAGATCTATAGAAATGAGGCAACAGAAAGAAAAAACTCTGCATGAAGGAGCTATTCATAATTTTCATGTTCTATTCTTGTACCGAATAGTCTCTCTAATGAATGTACTTACATGCGAACACTTATACACGTACTCTCACAAGTTCCTTTCCAACGTTTCTGCAAGTAAATCAAGTATTTGACAAGTACTTTCATAAGTACACCCTGCCACTAAATAAACGGAACACCTACATCTATCTTGTTTTAAACGCTTTTTCTCAACAAATTTTGTTGAAGGCATGTGTAGAAGCAGATGGAGGCCATTTTGAATAAATCTTTTTATTTATTGTTGTTTCTGTTGTTTTGCTAGGTTTTGAATAAAAATTTGTAGAGAAAAAGCGTTTAAAACAAGATAGATGTAGGTGTTTCGTTTATTTAGTGGCACCCTGTAATTACCAAGTACTATTTTGCAAAAAAATACTTACCACGTGTTTGCATAGTATTTAGAGAAATTCTCATAAGTAAATAAGTACTTGCCTGCAAGTACATTTTACTAGGATATTGGTTATACCTCTTACAAAATGTTACACTAAGAAAATCAGTTTCATTCTCATTATTTACGTACCACTTTTCTGAAATATGGTAACTGTATTTGGTTTGAATTCAAAATATTCTGTACTTTCAATCTCTAAAATTTGAATCATCTGAAATCCAGATTTCGAAATAAGAGTCTTTAATATTAAGAGTTTGTAGAGTTTATCAAATAATGTATGTCTACAAATTCAGTTCTCCTCACTCTTCTCTAAATAAATTCTACATAATAACTAAACAGACTAAAACCAGACATTTTTTCTTATATATCGTAAGGTAAGAAAAAACTCTTTTCTTGTTGTATGTCTTATATTATTAAAGACATTAAAAAAATTACCGTGTCACATTCTTTTAACCAACATATCTCAGCGGATTATCGACAAAAAAGTATGACAAA